CAGTAGCAGTAGCAGTAGCAGTAGCAGTAGCAGTAGCAGCTAGCAGCAGCAGCAGCAGCAGCAGCAGTAGCAGTAGCAGCAGTAGCAGTTGTAGTAGCAACAGAAACAGCAGCAACAGTACCAGTAGCAGTTGTAGCAGCAGTAGCAGTAGCAGTAACAGCAGCAGCAGCAACAGCAACAACAGCAATAACAACAACAACAACAGCAGTAGCAGCAGCAGCATCGCCATCATCATCAGCAGCAGCAATAACAACAGCATCTCCATCATCAGCAGCAGCAATAACAACAACATCACCATCACCATCATCAGCAGCAGCACTCACTCCGCGCCACCACGGCTAGGAGTCAGGCGAACCCGGGCTGCGCGCGCTCAGCAATGACGTTGACGCTAAATGCATTGCTCGCGCCCGGCGTGCGACGTCCATCGGCTGCATTATTTCGATATGCGCTTTACTTAAGCACACGGCTATTACATTACACGTGGCCTGCCACGACCGCGTTATTCGCGTGCTAATTTATAGGAAAGGCGGCGCATGGGCGGGCGACGGTGCATTTGGAAGGTATACGCCTCACACAGGCGCCGGCGCGTAAATCAAATGAGGCGAGATGTAAACATTTCGATCGACTTACATGCACGCACGCACGCACGCACGCACGCGCGCGAGCGAGCGGTCTATCGTCACGCGCTCGCGTTTCCGCGCCTTTGCATGTACGCGAAACATATCGGATGACAACTGAGAACGTTGAAAAATTTCGCGCAGAATAAAAACGGCGAGTTGCGAACGAACGAAAATGTTACTGAAATACGACGATGTGCTCAAATTCTCGTCGATGCTAAACTGGAAAGCGATATTAGTAGAAATTGAGAAACATTAAAATGAAAATACTTTGAAATCAAACGGCGGGATCTGGGGCCCGTTGTCAGAAACATCGTAAAGTTAATGCTAATGTTAATGCTACGATAACACTTACGACTAATGTTAAAGCCGCACAATGCGCATCCAAACGCTAATTTCTCCAGTACTATACTAGCAAATACTTCGTGGCATGCATAATTACACTACCTTATGACAAAATAAACTCTAGTTTCTCCCATTTCACTGCGCGTTTGCTTAAAACCCACAAGAAAGAGGTGAGAAAACTGGCATTCTGGCGCCAACGCCGACTTGTTTGCCAAACAATTTAGCCTCGAAGTGGTTAGGTGACGTCACATGTTTTTATCTTTGCTACACCCGTACCGCTGTACCGCAGCACCGCTGCACGGTTGCTTGGGAGAGCAACGCGAAACTGTCAACAACATCGGAGAATTTGAACAACATTGGAGGTATTATAAAACAACGCGCAGTGAAATGGGAGGAACTATAGTTTATTTTGTCATAAGGCAGTGTGATTATGCATGACACGAAGTATTTGCTAGTCTAGTACTAGAGAAATTAGCGTTTGGATGCGCATTGTGCGGCTTTAATGTTTGCGTGAGTAGCGTTTACAGAAACACATCGTAGCTACGAGCAAACTCACGATAACAGGAACTTCATAATTTCATGTCACAAGGCTGCTGATTGGATGAGAATCGATCACAAAATTTATATTCATACACATTTATTGTACATCACAGTAATTTATGCATATTTATGATGGCTAACCACATATAAATAATATTTGATGAAAAACGGCGTGGTCATGAATTTATTCTGCACAACAAGACAAATTCTCACACTGTAACACGAGACGCGAGAGTCGTGGCAAGTGGCAAAGTAGTTAAAACAAGAGAACAAATGCCATACGCCATTTGTAAATGTTTTGTTTTGTTTTATGATCGGTAGATAATTAATGATGTTGACGTGTTTTTCAAGAAGAACACACATTGTATTCATTATTATAAAATATAATATCACTATAATTGTAATTCGTAGTGTAAATGTGTTATTTTCAACTTAATATTAAAGTTACGAGAGGGTCTGGGCTCTCGTAATGTTTAGAGATATTTTCGAGGATTTTTCATTCTCGTAACTTTGCGATGTTTCTGTCAACGGTTTACGAGTGGAAGGTAATGCTAAGACTAATGTTAAGACTAATTTTGTTTCTGACAACCGGCCCCTGACCAATTAAATAACTTAAAAAATTGCGGACGTGCTCAAATTCCGGACGATGTTAACACAGTTGACGAACATGATCGCGTCTCTGGAAGAACGAGGAAAGTAATTATGCGAATGACGCAAAAACATCGACTGAAGAATTGCTAAATTGTGTTACGCGTCGCTCACATTATACTAACAGAATCAACTGTCGCCGTATGTAAAATAATATATGCCATATTTTTAGTTAGCGTAATAAGATGGCGTCTGTTGCACGAATGTAAATCTACTCGCTTCCATGTTTAATTTTAATTGTTTGCCTAGGGTTTGCTAGCGACATCTATGCGTGTTATGTTCGACACATCTTTTTCTCTACTTTGTTAAAACAAAAACAGTAACATAGCGTAAAAAAGGGAATAAGACCAAAAAATTTGAACACATTCAAGATTGCCTCAACAGTGTTTCATATTAGACAAAGTGGAAAATAAGAATGCATATGTATAACATCATAAGATTTACCGAGCAGGTTAATCATAGCCTAACCGTAACCGTAAATATAACCTTAACCATAACTGCAGAAGTCCCAAGTTGGGAAACTCCAAGAAAGGGATCACTTGTGATAATGGTCCATTGCCGTTTTTCCGCGGTACGCAAAAACATGAAAAAAGTTGTGGCGGGCTGCGACATGTGTTTGTCGCGGCGCGCCACCATTTTTTATAAAGTATAAATGTAAAATAAAATGCAAATTCAAAATAAAAATGCAAAAAAAACAAAAGCTGTTTGACATTTGTGGCCTTTTATTGTTCGCTGGAATAAGTACATCAACAACCACGGCAAATTTAGTAATTTACTGATCTAAATTTTAAAATATGGCTGAAAAATGTTACGACCGGGACTTTCTGGACTCATACCGGGGCACCGGGACCAGCATGCCGTACCGGGAAGATCCCGGTGAGACCGCGACACGGACGTCTGCATAACTGTAACCCTATAACACTAACCTAACCCTATAACTATAACCATAATAGTGCTCCTCGGCTTTGCAGTTCAAACTAATTCCTACAGATGGGGCGTCGGTTATCGGCATCTGGTTGCGGTGTCCACTGATCTCTATAATATGGCGGTGTCCCGTAGAATTTGGACGCTCGCCCGAAACTGGGCGCTCCTAAGTACGCATGCGCCGAGCCGTAGGCATGCTCTTTTGTTGTTCTCTTGTTTTCTTTTTGTTTGAATCTTGTTTTGCAGGGCCGTAGGAAATAGTAGCCATGCTCTTTTGTTTTCGTTTTGTTTCGCTTTGTAACCTGACACACATAACACAGTCTTACTAACTTACTACATATTGCAAATTGTTTCAATCAAATGTTTCCATCAGTGACCGGGTTGTCCGCCATGTTTGTTTATTGCGACCGTTTCGATGGGCGAGATGCGCAGATGACTGTATCAGGCTATAAGCAACTGAAGCAATGCCACCAAGATGCCTTACTGCCAGTTACAGACAACAACCTGTAGACACGGATATTTTGCTCTCCGTGCTGGCGTAGACAGTAGATCGGTTGGGGCTATGCAAGCATGCAGCAAGTATGCAAGTATGCAAGTATGCTGGCATGCAGTTTCCTTACGCTTGATAACAACACATTTTTCACAGCAATATGCAGGGCGTCGATAAACAAAACCTGTAAGAGGGGTTCTCGTTTATTTTCATCATTATACGTAATTCTATTGCATCAACAGTAACTTTACACAAATAGAACACGACGTATATACGGTCTATTCATTTCAACACATAAACTGTTCATAACACTAACTCTAACCGTAACCCTAACCCTAAACCTAACCCTAACCCCATCGACCATGCTTCCAACTCGTGTCTAGACTGCCCCCAAACATTTCGGTGGCTGTCTCCACAAGGATTCGGAGAGATTCACATGCGCAGCGACGCACGGGGGCAGTCTAACGCATTCGACATTGGCATATCACACAGAGAAGCGTCTCGCTGTGGCGACGAGATAAATTAAAAGCTTACACGTGTCCGTTTCGTTTATTTCACAGGTGCTGATTTGATCAACTGGATGATGAGGAACCTGGACGTAGATGACCAGAGTAAGTACACGAGAGACACATGGTTATAGAGACGGGAGGAGATGAGGTGCTGTCAGACACATCATAAACAGTTACCATGACTACCATACGTCTAAAATGTCGTGACTTGCACGAATCGTAAATAGTCATGAAGCCTAAAATGTCATAACCTTTACATGACCCTTCACTCCCAAAAGTTGTTTGCGTCAAAAGTGACATTTTAGACTCGTTATGTCTATAATGATCTTATTATGGGGATTTGTGATGCTTTCCTATGACCAAGGGCTTCTTGAATGTTGATGTTGTTGGCGACAACAGCTTCCTCAGTAGATCAGTAGGGATTGTGTCGCGCGCAGATGAAACTTGAGCTCTGTTAACAAACACAGTGGCGCGTTAGGGCAGAGCGGAATAGCGAATCAGGCGCGGTGCCTCGAATAAATTCCCAGCTAACACGAAAGTGTCATTATAAAGTTATTATAACTTTATTGTATAGTTTGGATAACGTTATTCAATAACGTTTATTCGACGTAAATGCGTCGGTTATTTTAATAACGTTTTGCAAACGTTTCTAAAATACTTTTTTTTATGTAACCCGGTTATAGTATATGCATGACGTCATCGGGCTATAGTGTTAAACGTCTGGAGTGTGTAAAACTTCATGCAAAAGTGGACAGTGCTTCCGAGCTTCTGGTGTCTTGTCCGTGGGGGTTGTGTTTGTGTGTCGATCTGCGGTACGAGAATGAGGAGACCAGTGTTGCAGACATAGCAAAGCATAGGGCTTGTTAGTACCAGCAAGAACGTGACAGATAACACTAACCGACTCTGCATAGTATAATAATGAGTACATGAGCAGAGAGAGAGAGAGAGAGAGAGCGCAATTTGATTCCGCCACCGTCCGACGGCGATAACGATACATCCGGCAACGGCGAAAGTTCGCGTGGCGAAAATTTCGCACCGTAATCGCAATAATTGGCGTCACATGCTAATTTTTCGCACTCCGCCAGTCGGCAGCACACTACACGCGATCTACTGGCGCCACACGAGCTCCACATGGCTCCAACAGTCACTAGTGGTAACGTACTAGCTACCTATCAATGATATCGTTGCATTATAAGCAAATCGCTACTTTGCCACGGACCACTATGCGAATTTTACACCGCACGGTTAAAATCCGCCTTGCGAAATTATCAAACATGTATTGATCGCAGATCGCGAATTCGCCCGCCTTGAATCGGACGAACCATAGGATGTCGCTGCGATTTTTACAATCGCCTGTCAGACAGTTTGGCGAATAAATTTCGCATGGTGTTCCCCGCTTAACCGGACAGTAACATTCGTCATTCTGTGGCTGTCGCCTAATTGCTAGTGCTCGTCTGCTTAATGCTGTCTGCTAGCTGCTGATGTGCTCTGCCTGCTGCTGCTGTTGCCAACCCGCCAATGTTGCACGCGTCGCGTTTTGCATACTGCGCGCCTCGTTTCTGTTAATTAGCTCGAGTTTAATCTCCATAATCTCTTGCGAAAATCCTTGCTCCGCGACGAAACGAACGCTCAGCGCGCCTTGATACAATACACACCGGACGCGACCACACAGCACGCCCTCGCTCGCACGACTGCACGACACACGGCCGCACGCAACACAAGCCCGCGCGCTCGCAGCACGCACGCGTACGCTCGCCCAGACGTTCCAACGTACGCATACACTGCGCACGTACACGTCAACGCATTGCACGCACGCACATGTTACCGACACCACGTAACTTCGCACCAGCACGACAAAACCACACACACACACAACATAACCACAAACACACACACACACAAACACACACACACCCAGTGCACTTAAACGCGACCCACAGTCACTCTCCTCCCCCCCTCTCCCCGTCTCTCCTCTATCTCTCTTCTCTCTCTCATCTCTCTCTCATCTCTCTCTCTCTCTCATCTTCTCTTTCTCTTCTCTCTCTCTCTCTTCTCTTTCTTCTCTCGTCTCTCTCTCTCTCTCTCTCTCTTACTTGCTCTCTCGCTCTCTATCTCTCTCTCTCTTCTCTTCTACTCTCTCTCCCTGTCTCCCAGGCGCTGCGTTAGATCGTTTGTTACGAGCAAATTATCTCGGATACTCGCTGCGTCGACTTGAGCTGCCATCATCCGCCAGGCTCAGGCAAATGTTTAGTGCCGAGGAACGCGTAATTCACGTTACGATTTTCGGCAAAAAAAAACCGTACTGCGATGCATCTACACACGCGCTTACGATGTGCGTGCATAGGTACGAGCTGACGCAGCATCTAAAAGATTTTCCGATTGACTTAGGCTGAGAAGTACGTCTAGGCGATGAGCAACGTTGCGATACGAAGTGAGGTGTGGTGATATCGGGGATGAATAGAAGCCCAGTGTGTTTTTATTCATTGCTGATCATATCTGAAGTAGATGAATGACTAGTGCGTCTCTCTCTCATATCCTTCGTCTTTCTTCTGTCATGTCCTGTTCTGTTCTTCTGTTCTGATTAGTCTGTCTGTCTGTCTGTTCTGTCTGTTGTCTGTCTTCTGTCTCTATTTACTCTCTCCTCTCTTCTGTCTCTCTCTGTCTCTCGTCTCCTCTATCTATTCTATCTATCTATCTATCTATCTATTTATCTATTTATCTATCTATTCTTATATTTATCTATATCTAATTATATGCTATATATATATATATATATATATAATTATATATATTCGATTCTATCTATCTCTCAGTCTCACGCCTTCTCTCTTCTCTTTCTCTCTGTATCTCTCTCTAAAATTAATCTATTTCTCTTCTTTCTTCTATTCCATTCTCTCTCTCCCTCTCTCTTCATCTCTCCTCTCTCTCCTTCTTTCTTCTTCAATTATCTTCTCTCTCTATCTCTCTCTCTCTCTCTATCTATCTATTTTATTATCTATCTATTATCTATATACTATGTATCTAATCTATTCTATTTATCTATCTATCTATCTATCTATCTATATAATCTATTCTATCTATCTACTATTATCTATCTATCTATCTATCCTATCTATCTATCTAGCTATCTATCTATTATCTATCTATTCACTATCTATCTTAGCTTATCATATCTATCTATCAATATCTATCTATCTATTATCTATCATCTATCTATCTATCTTATCTATCTTCTAATTATTTATCTATCTATCTATCTTCTATTATCTTTCCCATATCTATTATTTACTATATCTTCTATATATCTATCTATCTATCTATTATCTTATTATCTATTCTAGCTATCTATCTATCTATCATATCTATCTATCTATCTATTATCTATCATATCTGATTATCTTATCTAATCTATCTATCTATCTAGCTA